AGTATGGAGGGATATTGACACGTTTTTTGTGAACGTTTATGGGCCATTCTGTCTCGGGCACCATAGACCTCCATTATTTGAATGTCAGCAGACAGCAAGAAGCCTCCCAGATCTCCAGATGCATTTGAGATATCAAAAAAGTACTCCAGAGTGTTGTTCAGCATGGGGGTGAGTAGAAAATGAAGGATAATCATGTTTTGGGTGTACTATTCCTTTAAGTCTTTTTACAACCTACACCCCATCGAGGCATTTCAGTGGCTCAATTTTTCATATATTCCACCTAGAAAAACGTGTATCTACGTTCTCATGGTGGTCTCAACAACGTCCGCAGTAACAACACACATAGGGCGCGCCGCACATTTTGAGGGAAAAAAAGACATTTATATGCGCATTTATATGCATTTATAGTCGTGAAAATACGGTATGTAGACAGCTCATCATGGAATAACAAGGCTTGCAGATTTAAAATATTAGAGACGATCAGCAAATTGTGAACAAGTCTTGGAAAGAAATCGCTCTTGAATGACATGGAGAGGCTTTGATTATATATTTGAAACAGCTTTCCACTTCTACATGTATTGGGGCGTAGTCAGACCTTAAAAAAGTTGGCCAAAATATTAGGTACTAGGGAAAAAGCTACACTGTGTATAAAAGCTGCAGACATCGTTGCCTGTGAGTCTCATTTCCTGGCAGAGCGTATACATGCGTCAAGCATAACTGAGTCTTTAGTTGTAGGATCCAAAACTTCATGGTATCCCCAACTAGGACTCTCTGGTAAGACTCTCCTTTTCCAATCCAACTGTGCTCAATCTTTTTTTGTAAAGAAAAAAATTAGGTGATGTTCAACAGGAAAAGACATTCAAGCTCAAAGAATTACATCTTATTTTTTGGTGAAAGGTCTAATTTTTAACTCAGAGTTGAATATAAATGGTCACAACACAACATTATGTTAAATATATTGAAGTTCATGGTAGTAAATTGATGACATTTTCCCAAAAAAAGACTTTAGGGAGGTACTTTAGGAGGGTGACAGTGGCTGACTTTCATTGTCGTTGTGTCCTTGGGCAAGACACTTCAACTGCATTGTCTACTGATGGTGGTCAGAGGGCCCGGTGGCGCCAGTGTACGGTCGCCCCGCTTCTGTCATTGAGCCCCAGGGCAGCTGTGGCTACAATGTAGCTTGCCACCATCAGTGTGTGAGTGAATGGGTGAATTAAAGTAGTGTAAAGTGCTTTGGTCAAGTCTCCTGGCTTGAAAAAAGGCGCTATACTGCATAAGTACATGCCATTTACCATTTACTTCATGCTAATGTCTTTGGTTCCAGAGTATTGCTTCACAGGCGCATTAACAAGTAAAGGAGTGCTATAGTGAATGAGCTGAAATGTTTTATAGAAGTAGATAATTTTCCAGCCTAAACGACTGACCTTGCTTTGATGTTTGTTTCTCAACAGAGAAGATGATTTACCTCCTAAGCGGTCGTCATCGGTGAAGGCGTTCCATGCAGATGCCTCTTCCTCAGAGAATGACACACTGACATCAACAAACACGTACAACAGTCGCTACTGGCACAACCCTAAAACCAACTATGAAACCAACTCCTACACGCGCTACAACGGAGACACCCGTCAGACCTTCACGGCTGCTCCCGGTGGACCCCATGGCGCTCACAGTCACGGACAAGCTCAGAACACTACGCAGGCCCGCGAAACAGCGGTCACGGCTCCAGGCTCCACCCCCCTACCCCGACACCCGCCACCCACTACGGCAACAACCACGACAACATCGTTTGCCAACGGCGGCCATATGCTCTCCCCACCCAAGACTTTGGTAGTCACAACAAACTCTGCCCCATCCCCTCCCGCCATGGTGCGCAGCAACGGCACAGTGAGCCTCAAGCCAGTGGTGACATCGGCGCACGGGCACCACACGCACTCGTATGCTGTTAGCCAGGCAACACTGGAGCGGATGGGAGCGGTGCCGGTTATGGTGCCCGCCCAAAGCAGAGCAGGTTCACTTGTTTAGAAACCTGATGTAAGACTCTGCTAATAAGACTAAAGTAGTGTTTGGTTGGGGTGTTTGAGATCTGATCTTAAAAAATAAAGAAAAACAGACTGATATGGGCTGAAGCAGCTCACAACCCTTTACAGTTGTGTCTTTCAGTAAGACTATTTTTTAAACACAGAGTTATTAGGTAGTTTTGGTTTTACAGTGCAGAATTCAATCGATGCCAATTCTTTGAAAGACATGATGGGGAGTTTTATGGATTTTCTGTCAGTGCACAGTGGGATCTTTTTTTTTTTCCAACCCCATGGATGATTTCCCTAGCCTGGAGTTTAAGGTCTGCAAACCCAGAATCCCAGGCCTTTTATGATTGTGTTTTGTTTTTTTTTATGACCCAAACCAGACATTGTCTCATTGTGTCAGTGTGCATCAGCAAACAGAAGCCAGCTTTGAACCCCGCATTACAACGCATGTCTCCTTTAATTTTATTTTCCATTGGTTTTTCTCTCTCTTAAAGCAACACTGTGCAAGTTTTGACCCAAGCACTAGTCTAACACTGGCCAAATTTAGCTATTCCTCTTCTCAAAAACCACTCTGTGTAACTTGAAAGGGTCAAATTTGTCACTGAATAGGTCATGTGACCCAGAGCGGCACTTCTCTTGACAGCTAACAAAGCTAAAAGCTGTTATAATCCAGATAGGACCGTAACCGATCAGACATATTTCAGGTTCTCTGATGTAGGATTTAATCTAGACGGGTAAGTGCAGCCTTGCCTTTACAGGTAACCCCATGGCTTCTAAATCCCCTGGTTAATTGGTCTGCTAAGCATTTAGAAAAAGTGCAGTGGTGCTAGTTCCTTTATGGCACATTAAAACCTAACCTGGCTAACCAGATTGATAATGTGTTGCACTTAGGTTTAGTTCAACATGTTATTAATCTAGGACATTGATTTTCTTCTAAGAAAGACGAGACATGCAGAAGAACTCTTTCAGCTGATTGGGTGAAGCAACATCTTGTGCCTGCCTACAGTAGTAGCCATTCAAAATTTTCCAACATTCCTTGATGGGCCCTTGGCTGGTTCCCTACATTTCCTTTTTAAACATCAATCTTTTTACTAAAATATTCATAATTTGTGGACATGAAGATCTAAAGAGAAGCGTCATCTCCTGGTCAGACCCTGTAAATCAGTGAAACGGTGCAGTCGAGTGTGAAGCGGCTGGGATGAGAATCAGCTCCTCCAAGTCCGAGGCCATGGTTCTCGATCGGAAAAAGGCGGCTTGTCCCCTTCAGGTTGGAGGAGAGTCCCTGCCTCAAGTGGAGGAGTTCAAGTATCTTGGGGTCCTGTTCACGAGTGAGGGAAGAATGGAGCGGAGATCGATTGACGGATCGGTGCGGCTGCTGCAATAATGCGGACGCTGCACCGGTCTGTCGTGGTGAAGAGAGAGCTGAGCGAAAAGGCAAAGCTCTCAATTTACCGGTCGGTCTACGTTCCTACCCTCACCAATGGTCGTGAAATCTGGATTATGACCGAAAGAACGAGATCCCGGATACAAGCGGCTGAAATTAGCTTTCTCCGCAGGGTGGCTGGGCTCTCCCTCAGAGATAGGGTGAGGAGCTCGGTCAATAGGGAGAGGCTCCGTGTAGAGCCGGTTCTCCTCCACATCGAGAGGAGTCAGTTGAGGTGGCTCGGACATCTTCTTCG